GGGGGGGGGGGGGGGGGGGGGGGGGCAACCGTGACCTGGATGATTTGAGAATCTCCATAGACATTTAGCCATAGAAATAGGCTGGTTTTAAATCTGAGTTTATTTGGCCCATACATCTAATGATAGCACGAGGGATTGTTCTTGGTTCACAGGCTGTGATTTCATCAAATGCCAGAAAGACTCACTCATAGTTACAATAGAGATCAGGACCCATTCAGATATTTGTCACCCTTAACCAAACAGGAAGCACCTAGTTTCGTTACTTTGTGCCTTCATCCTTTTGGGTTTCTGTAATTTGCTCAGTCCAACCACTTGTTAACAATACTACTTTATGATGACAAGAATGTCAATTGTACTGTGCAGGAATAGCTAGCTTCAGGATGTAGGTAATTATATAGTAAATGCCGAGTTACTCCTAGTTTTAATATAGAGAATGTTAAATAGGTTAAGTTACCAACTGTACTGAATTCTGCCAAAAAGTCCGGAGTGAGATTCAAGTATAACATGAAAATAATTGACATTTAAGTCAAATTACATTTGCTTTAAATGATCAGCTAGCATATAATGGCTTCATTGTATGTGGTATTTAGCTTTTTTTTAAAAAGACAGTTACCCCAAACAACTTTTAATTGAAATTAAAAGTACGTAGAGAGGAACTATATTGCTAGCATCTACCAATTTGTTTAACATCTGCTCCTTAGCATGCAATTTTCTGCTTGGGATATGGAAGTGAGCTTAAACCACACTGTTTCAAAGAAGATGTGAAATTTGAAAGGGGAGGTGGTGGAAATGAGGCTTCAAAGGTGCTGGGTTGGAGCTCCAGGCATAAGTAATGGGAAGCCAATAGACCAGTGAGATCATCTCCTCTTGCAAAATAACACAAAATTTCAGTCCTGGAGGAGTGAAAGTGACATGTAAGTGAGAAATACCTAAAGAAGATTTTGTTTGAAAGGAAAGATAAGCTAATTCTTTTTTTTTTAAGATTTGGTGATGGCTTGCTCTTGGATAATTACCATGAGCATTGGTACAGAGTTAAATGTAATTACTGGTTGGCCATGGAAGTCAACAATTTGTTATTCCTGTGCTTAATAACTGTTAAGCTTTATTTCTCTCCAGGGGTATCAGTGCTACTAAGGATGCAGTCTGAATCCCTGCCAAGTTCAGGAAAACTTCACATGAAGAGTTTCAATGTTTTGGTAGACCAATTAGGCTGCTCTGGTTGGAGAAAAATTGGTCTTTTATTTTTCCAACCAATATGCCATTTTGAAAAAACCCTAACCTACCACAAATGCATATAAAGTGATGGAAAAAATAGAAAAATGGTTTATAAGAATATTGATTCAACTCAACAGTTGATTAACATGAAAAATGCATTTAAATTCTGAGTTCAACATTTGAAAGATTTCTTTTGTCAACTTAAAACTATTTTAATTTAAGACAATTTGAAAATAAAGATTGTTGGGCAATTTGTAGCTCAATCTAGCTTGAATGGAAACTACTTCGAGCATTCCAAGTGCACAGTTCTCAGTACCTCTAGAGGTTTCTGTTTTACTTGTGCCTACCATGCTCTGCTACTTCTAGTCAGAAATGCAGTTTAGGCATCTATATGTTTCTCTATTGGCTTTTTTTGCATTCTCCAGCCTTTGTTAAAAGATTAGAAACCGGTCAGATATTCCCATCTTTTCTCTCCACACTCCATTTTCCATAGTTTTATACAATAAAGCCTGCATTCCAGATTCTACCCCTGATTAGCACTTACTATGTTAATTGATAATTGTTTGGCAATTATCAAATATTTGTATAAGATGAGTCATGGTTAAGGCAACAAGTGGAGGAAAAAAGACTTCAGCAGGAAAGGAATGTTTGGTCTGAGTTTTTAATTACATAACAATATCTAAGAGATTGAAACCATCTTTTCTGTACTTAAATAAAAAAATGAATGTAACAGGAAGAGCATGAGAAAGAGAAGAGGGTTGAGATGCAAGGGAACATAAGATAGTGGTTCACCATTGCCTAACTAATACTTTCTTTACAGTAGTTGAAGGCTTCTAGTAAAATTGCCTAAAACTATAAGTTACACGATTTGGGACGTGCGGCTTTGATTTATTTTTTATTTTTCCCAGGTAGCTAAAATGATTAACTTTTGAAAACTCGAGAAACTATGGTATATGTGGATGTTTACATGATCTTCTGAAGGTTGGAACTGGTTCAGAATGATAATCTGTTCTAACATAATTTTTTGATGTTGATAAACTTTGTAAGCCTTGATATTCAGTTGGATCAATACTATCCATCCTATAGGTTTTTCATATGTGTAGAAAAACTGGCTAAAAGAAGGCAGAAATGTCCAGATCATTTCAAAAGAATTTTGGAAGGTGACCTTGTGAAACATTCCTACTGACAAAATGGTTTTCTTTTCTTCTTTTTAACCAGTAAGGAGATTCATGTACAACCAATCCTTAACATTTTGTACATGTTCACCCTAGGTGCACTGAATTGCAGATGGCTATACAGAATGTGGTCTGTGATCTTGAAAAAGAACTTTCTATCAGTTTAAAATCCTGCCGTGACCTTAGTTTCAAAGAAACTGCCAGTGCTGATTATGAGGATGGAGGGTGGGATGAAATTTGTTCACTTTTTGAAAGAATATCCTTGACCTGAAGAATAGTTGCAGGAATTGGATATGTTTAATCCAGGAAAGAAGGACTAGAGATGACATGATAGCAGTCTTCCAATATTTGAGGAGCGGAGAGGGGGGTCAATCTATTCTCCAAAGCACCAAAGGGCAAGAAAAGAATCAATGGATGGAAACTAATCAAGGAGAGAAGCAACCTAGAATCAAGGAGAAATTTGCTAACAATGAGAACAATCAATTAGTGAAACAACTTGCCATCAGAAGTTATGGGTGCTCAATCACTGGAGGCTTTTAAGAAGAGACTGGATAGCTATTTATCTGCAATGGTATAGGAGCATCTGCTTGAGCAGGGGCTTAGACTAAAAGACCTTGCACTCTTATTTATAATTTTATTGTCTTTGACTTCAAAAAACAGTTGCCCAAGTGCATCCGTAAAACCTTTTGGCGGATTAGGCACCAGGTGCTGTCC